ATGGCAGGGCAGGCTGCATGGCTCCTATCCCAGGAAGACCTACGGCCCCCAAACCTTAAAAACATCTCAAGGGCAGGGATTGGCCAAACAGAACTATGCGCGATTTCTGGATGAGCCTGACCCCACAGTGAAGTCTGTCCCAGGACTGTTGCGGGTGCAGCCAGCAGGCCCTTCAGAGGGGGTGGGGCTGGCACCGTCTCCTGCCCAGGCTGAGCTGGGCCCTCCTCTTACAGGTGCTGTGCTTCCACAGCCGTGCGGGGATGATGGGCCGGGCCTGGTTGCTCTCACACCCTCTGCTTGGCTCCCCTGCCACCACCTGTCCCTCAGATGACTCCAGAAGCTGCCCCTGGCCCACTGGGGTTCAGGCCTTGGGCCTCCTTCTGGCTGCGTGCACTAGAGGCTTCCAGAGCCAACATCATGGCAGGAAGGCCTCACGGCCACCTCAGCCAGGTGACCGTCCACTTCGCACACCAGGCCCCCACCCACCTACCTGCATTCTTGGACTTTCTCCCAGAGCCACATCCTTGGAGCCCCCTAGAGCCAGGCCCACAGGAGAATGAGCCAACATGTGGGGGCTGCCCCAAGGACGGGTGAAGGCCCCTCCAAGACCCCCTAGAGGATGACAGCCACAACAAACCTGCATCCGGGGCAAGCCTGGTAAGGCCTGGGGGACCCCTGTTCTCAAGGCCCCTTTTGGGATATGCCCCTCCTGCCACCTTGAGCACACAAAGGCACCACTGACACAGCCCATGTGGGATCACGTGGTATGGACACAGTAAGCCTTTCTCACGGGCTCGGAGTGGTCAGCACTGCCGGTGGGAGCAGAGCCCTGACTCACGGACTGCACGGACTGGACAGACGCACATAGTTGAGACCCACAGTGCAAGCTGACGCACCTCGCGCACCTCAGCACCTGCAGCCCCGACCCTGCTCAAGCCAGGTCTGCAGGGACCAGCCAGTTCCAAGCCGGGTGGCGCCAGGGGCAGGGGTAGGTCTCTGCCCCACAAGGGGCCTGGCCATGACACCTGTGTGGATACAGGGCTGGCTGTGCCCAGGCCTCCAGCCGGGCCTGTTGGTCACTTGTCATGCTGGACAGTCAGCGTCTCCTTTGATGGAGACGGGAGAAGGCTCTTGGGCAGCTTGGAGTCTGATGCCGTGGGACCCTCTCCTGCCACAGCTGCTTCTCAGCGTGGTACCTGAGCTCAGGCCCCAGGACGGCGGCTCTACCATGGGACCTGGCTTGAGACGCCTGGGCTGGGTGGGCAGGACCAGGAGGACCCTCAGGACGCACGTACTCTGTCTCGGAGAGCTCCATGTCCGACACGGCTGGTACCACGCGCAGCACCGGCGCGCACGCTGGCCTGACGCAGGCGCGTCCCCGCCGCATAACCTCCTGCACATACCTAGGGAACAACCCGCGTCAATGGTGGCTGCGCCGGCGGCCACCAGCCCTGGGGAAGGAGCCTCGACCAATGCTGCCGCGCAGGGACAGACGGAGCATGAAGGGGTTGTACAACCTGCCCCGTGAAGGCTCCAGTTTGCAGGGTGGACAAGACACCAAACCCCCTCCTAGGCCTCAGTGGTGCCAGACACTGCAGCACACTCCACACTCACGATCTGGGTACCAACCCCCCTGTTCCCCAGACCGCACTTTGGGGAGCTTCTGATCTGGGGTGCTGGGATCCTACCACCTCATCCCCTCTGGTGGGACGCCATCTCCTCCCGAGAGCCTGTCCTTGGGTCTCTGGCATGAATTCCCCACCAATGGTGTGGACACTGGCTCTGGGGTGTGGCAACTCTGTCTGCACCTCAGGGAGGCTGAGAGCCCCCCGGCACCACAACTGAGGCCATCCTGGGCAGCACGGCAGCTCCTCTCACGTGGACACCTCCACCGGGGTGCACTGGGCGACCCTGATGGTAGTTTCTACTCTGACAGCCCAACAGGGCCCAGCACCCGACCTGCCTCTGGGCCTTCACTCCAAGTCTCCACAGCTTCTCGCAAAAACATGTGTCCCCTGGACAGACAAACCCAGCAACTCTGGGTTTCCCCACAGCATCCAAACAGGGGCAGGAAGGTCGTGTCTCAGAACGGCGGCAGTGGTTCCACGGCTCAGTGGGCATCCCCTGCCATCATGTAGGGCCTGTGGGTGCCCGGGGAAAGGGCAGATGCAACCCGAGAGACCCCTGCTCAGCCCAACAAGGGGGCTCAGGAAGCCCCGGCAGGAGAGAGCACACAGGCCCAGGGCCTTGAACCTGCTGCACATGATGCCCACCCCCAGCTCATCTGCCAGCCCGGTCACACGCCCCAGCTCCGAGCACCACACACCAGGCTCCTGCATGGCACGGGGCTCTGGCTCCTTGTTGGCTGAACAAGATCACAGGGTCACAGATGTTTGGCCATAAAGTGATCACCCTTTGGGTTTGAGGTAACTCTGACCCTCTCTGGCCCCAGAGCTGTCATTAGGCTGAAACTTTAATGACTTGAGACCACACAGGCTTTCGGCTGGGAAGGGTCTGAACCCTGATGCTGGTTCGGCAGAATAGGGCCCCTGGCCCCAGCCTCCCTGGAGTGGCACAGCCCCAAAGCTGGAGGCCCAGGAGGTGGGCCTGGACCCCAGGCCCCAGGTGACCCAAGGTGGACAGGAGGAGCTGGTGACCTCTGAAGGCAACCATGGCCTCTGTGACCACAGCCCCAGGGCCTGCATGAGCTACAGGCTCCCAGGACCCTCACAGAGACCCTGATGTGTGAGGAATTCCAATGACCCAGGATGGCCGAGAAAACTGGCCTCAAGAGCAAAAAGCTGAAAGTGGAGAAGGCAGGTTCTGGCCTGCAGCGAAAACGCTGCCGGAACAAAGAGGCGGCCTCCCTGCAGCCCAGGCAGAAGCCAGCCTGCTCTGGGGAGAGAACAGGGTCTGGCTACTGGGGCCCAGAAGGCCAAGGAAGGCTTAGCGAGGAGGGGCTGGGGGCTGGACGTCCAGGATGACAACTCTACATCTGCACAGGTTGCAGAACCACGTAGCTTTCCAACCGTGTAGAGCCACTCAGGGCTCGTGGGGTGCGATTGTCAAGAGGCAGCCGCCATGCCTCCAGGACCCCTGCCTCAAAGCCCAGGCTGCCCAGCAGTCAGCAGCCTCTGGCTGGGACCAGTGTTCCCCACACACTGGGGCCCTGCAGACGCGGCTCAGGTTCAGGAAGGACCCCCCTCCACAAGAGCAGTGAGCACAGAGGCCTTGGGTGTGTGAAAGCTCCGGCCCCAGCCCTCCGTCCACCGCAGGGTCGCCTGCCACATGGCTCCTCAGTGGTTGTCAGTGGAAGGAAGGGCCCAGTATGGCTGGGCGACACCAGAGGGCCGTTTTTCCCCTGAAGACCTCAGGCCTTGGGGAGCTTCAGCCCCAGGAATGGTGCTGTGGTAACTCCCAAGACCCACCGCACCCCACGATGCAGCCGTACCTCTGTTTGGAGGGTGCCCGGCTGACTCTCTTTTCTTCCTCCTCCAGACGTCGGCGCGCCTCCTCCAGCTGGGTTAGGGGGTTGGGAGCTGGGTGGGGTGGCATCGTGGGGTCTTGGATGAAGAGGTGGGAGGGCTGCACGGAGGTCCGGAGCTGAGGGCCGGCCCAGGGGTGCACGGCCCCGGGGCGCTCAAGGGACAAGGGTCTGGAGTTCTCATGGGGCTGTGGCTTCCTTGTCCCTGAGGACCTTGGGGAACAAGAGAACAAGCTGTGGCCATGGCCAACACCCTGGCCAGGTGGCCTGGTGGGGCTACACCCATCTCACAAGGGCAGCCTCCTTGAGAGATAGGATAGGATGGGCTACTGGGGCCTGGCCACCAAGACACATGGATGCCCTCCTCAGACCACACAATAAAAACATCCCGGCCGGGCACAATGGCTCACACCTATAATCCCAGCAGTTTGGGAGGCTGAGATGGGCGATCACCAGAGGTCGGGAGTTTGAGATCAGCCTAACATGGTGAAACCCTGTCCCTACTAAATATACAAAACTAGCCGGGCGCCTGTAATCTCTGCTACTCTGGAGGCTAAGGCCAGAGAATGGCTCGAACTGGGGAACTGGAGGTTATAGTGAGCCGGGATCACGCCACTGCACTCCGGCCTGGGTGACAGAGTGAGGCTCGGTCTCAGAAAAAAAAAGACAACAAAAAACCATCCCTGATTTGCCTGTAATCCCAATCCTCAGGGAGGCCAAGGTGGGCGGATCGCCTAAGGTCAGGACTTCAAGAACAGCCTGGCCAACATGGCGAAACGATGACTCTACTCAAAAAATACAGAAAATTAGCCAGGTGTGGTGGTGGATACCAGTAATTCCAGTTACTCGAGAGGCTGAGGCAGGAGAACTGCTTGAACCTGGGAGGCAGAG